AATTACCTTAAAGGTCTTTTACATGGACTATTTAAAATAAGTACAATTTATTTATTTATTTCAAATGAGGTGCTTCTTCCAAAGTATTAAATAATGTCTACAAATGCAAAAGCATTTTTATAAATAGGTAATTAAAACAAATGACTAAAATTAAGTCAAGCTGCAAAACATTACCCAGAATGCACTGTGGGGTGTGTGTGTGTGTGTGTGTGTGTGTGTGTTTTAATAAACATCTCAGGCAATTTTTTCCACCTAAAGCCCAGAGCACTTCAGGAAAAAAAAAAAAGAGTAGGAAATTTCATAGGGGAAACACACACACATATATAATGAAATAATGCCAAACCCCAAACTAAAGTATTTACAAGATAGTCCCTCAAGCATAGTTTGTCATATTGCAATTACACCTTGCTTCCTGCCAAGTCAAAGTGCTCACTGTTGCCACTAGGGGGAGAAATGTCTTAACACAAAGCAGCAGCAAACAGGGAATGAGCTTTCGTGAGCAATTATCAGAACAAAGCTCCCTTGGCTGTGTGTACCTTCTAATTACTCAATACAATTAAAATGACTAACCTAAAACAAATAGGAAAAAAAATCTGCCTGCCTGTTATCAGAGACTTCATTAAACACTTTCCCCTCATCAATCAAATCAGAAAGAAGGGAATGCCATCATATACAAACATTCCAGACAGGACTACTAAAGGAAGTAAATTCTGTGTTTTGTTTTTTAAGGAAGAAAAGAAGTGGCTCTCTTGAAAAAAGAAATGTCGTGGTATTTACCCATCTGGATGATGTTTGAAAACAAATTGTCCTCCAAAGAGCAGAAATACAGTATGTTTTCCTCTCAGTTCACTGGCTTATGACTTTTTGTTGTTGTTGTTGTTTTGTTAATATACACTATAATGTCATTTTCTGTGTCAGTGATGTGCTGCTTCCTCCTACTCAATCAACTGTATAACAGAGCTATGCCAATCAGACTTTCCTGCTTATACTGAGCTATTTGAAGTTTTTTTGTGGATACACTCCAGGCAACATGGGAATTAGGGTGGTGTAAAGAGGTGAAGGAGGAAAGGAAGGCAGGGAAAACTGCTACTTATTCCTTCTAAAAAGACTTGAGTAGTTTCTTTTATAAGACCCAGTCATTAACAGAAGATGACAACAGAGTCATTTTTCTTTCCGCTGACAATTGTGACATTTTTCCAGCAGCTTGTAAGGTGTTGAAAACCTGGCAGCTGTTACCTCCTGGGATGAAGATACTTTTTTATCCTCCCTTGACAGTTTAACTCAGTGGGTCAGCACCTTTAAAGACTGCAAAGTATCCTTGAAGAGGATGGAAGCTTGAATTACTGCTCCCTCCCTAATCAATGTAAACCCTCACTGCAGGTGAAGTCTCCAGCTATAGAGGTGCACAGGGGAGGAAAATGTAATGCCCTGAGCCAGATGGTTTTTATCTTGTTTTTAAAGAATAAAGGAACAAGCTAACAAGGGAGACAGCTACTTTGTTAGCTTCTTGGCCTCTCTCATGGCTTTGCATCCCCAGGGTTCCAGCTACACAAGAGAAAGAATACAGAAAAACGTAAACACTTAAAGAAATATAACTAGAGGGCTGGCATCATGCTGCTTTCAAAGAGTTGAGAAAGCTCTACTCGATGCTTTATTTATCACTGCCCACGTTCTCAGGATGGTAAGTGGACAAATACACAAAGAGAATGGGGGGTGGGGGAAGGATTAGACAGAGGTCACAATTTACTCAATTACAGAGAAAGGCAGGGCTGACAGATCCTATTAGTACCAATGAGAAGCAAAGAAGGAGTTGCATGTTGTAAGACTACATTTTCAGAAAGTAATGAGTACTTTCATGTATCCTCCCAGGTCTTTGCCCTTGTTTGCAGATATGAATAAAAGCTATGAGAACAGTTGCTATGGTTTCCTCAGCTTCCTATTTTAGGAGTAACAGGAGAAAGAAAATTGTAGCTATCTTGTACTGCTTTTAAATAAAAGTTCACACTTAGTGCCAAGAGATAAGAAGATTGTCCTAAAACTTCAGACAATTAAAAGGATACATTGCTTGTCTTTTCCTAGCAATTCTACTGCTTTCTAATTTTGGATATAAAGTAGTAAAGCAGGTATACAAAATAACTTGTGATGCAGGGAATACAGAGTGTTTCCTGACTCTAATATTTTTTTTTCTAGTGTTTGTCAGGTTTTAGAATTATCCTTAGAAATATGTCAGGAAGTGTCCTTTTATTCTCTATTTTTTGAGAGTCTGTTAAGATTGGTGTTATTTATCCCCCAAATGTTTGACAGAATTAATTCAGTGAAACTATATGGGCTTTTGATTATTCAATTGGTTAATAGACACAGGGCTGTTTTATCTTGTGTTGGTTTCAGTGAGATGCTGTTTTCAAGGAATTTGTCCATTTTATTTAACTTGTCAAATTTTGGCTTAAAATTGTTTATAGTATTTCTTTACTATCCTTTTAATGTCTCTAAGATTTATAGCGATAATCTTTCTTTCAACTCCTGAAGTAATTAAATAGCTCTCCCAGTTAACATGTATGATCATATCCTGTCAACAATGGTAAAGCAATGTACTTTAGAATAATATATGTAAATCCTAACATTTGTTTAAAGTTAACTAGACTTACAAGAACATAGCTGAAAATTTTATAATCTATGGCAAAAGAGCTACTTAAATCCCATTAGAAATATCTGCTGAAAAATCTTAGGTTAAAGGATTTGCCTGTATGATACAAATCCTATTTACATCAACACAGGGTAAAAGGCAGTTCAGATGTCTTTTTAGCTTGCATAACTTGACTAAAGGGGGGAAGGGGTGGAGAAAGTGGCACTTCATTATTGTCATATGCAACAGAGGAAAGTGGGAGTTTAAAAGGCTTGTATATTATGTCCTACCTTTAAAAAAATCAGTGGTAGGGTAATCAAGTTCAGGGCAGTTCTGGACAGCTGCCCTGTGACCCGCTTCTATTGACCCCTGCTATTCATCACTCTTCCCCAAGATTGGGAGGGCAAGCTCCTAGGGAGTGACCACCACAATAGACAGACACAAGCCAACAGTAATCTGGTTCAGGCAAAAAACCAGATGGCACAGCAATAAATTTACAAATCTGCATTCATGGGGCTGTTAAAACACCCAGAAGCTAAAAGACTCTGAGGGCCCCAGGAGGATCTCCTACTTCCCTGTTTCTAAAGGCCATTTCTCTTTCCAAGAACACTGAGTTCATGCTCTTTACAAAGAGAATGGAGATAAAGGCCTTTACAAAGAAGGGGGGGGGGAGGGAAGCTTCATGACCCAATTAATCTCGAGAGCTTGGATCTCAACGGTGAATGACAGATACTAGAAAAATCATTTTGGAGTACTAGAAGAAAAAACAAAAATGACTGTTAAAGAGGAGGTAGGGAAGCAAACCTACTAAAAAGCAAAAAAAAAAAAAACAAAAAACAAAAAACCCCACGGTAAATCTCTTTCAAATACTGCACACAACAGATCTTGCAAGTAGAAAATGATTCAGTAATGTATGCATTTATTTTTAAAATGAATCAGATTAGTCCCATGTGTGACCTGCTGGTCCATCTGTATGTGCTGGACTTAATAGGCACGATTCTCTCTCTTGCTTCAGTTTGAAGTATGAGAGAGATAAATTTAGTTTAATTTTCAACAGATCAGCCTATCCATTTTCCAAATGGACCATCTGGATCAGCCTATTAAAATTAATTTATAACTTTGCAGAGTGAAAATTCGTTTGTTAGCTTAAATAAAGTTGCCAGAACTTTTTGTTGTGTCATTGTTTTTTTCACAGTTGTTTCTGTTTAGTGGGCAAAGTATTTCCACCTCCAAGTTTATCTTATTCAATACTGATCCATTTTAGATTTATAGATCAGGTATTTATCTCTAAATACTACACAATGTCAATTACTGATCAATTTGTTATTTTTTTTACAAAGCTTTTTAAACAGGCTCAATTTACAAATGATAATTTTTATTAAAAAAAAAACAGGAAAAGTCTCTCTCCTAAATTTAATAAATAATAAATACAAAGTATGTTATAGTCTAGTGCAGTTTCAGGTACTTTTCCCCTAAACTAACACTATATACAAAGAGAAGTCAGAAAGCAGAAAAAGAAATGTTTTGGCAATACTGAAATATGGGTTGCAAGTCACTGACAAGCTATACAAGTCATCTAACCTAAAACTCTACCTCTAAATCTATAAACTGGATATCATATCTAGAAACTTGACAGAATTATTATGAAATAAGTATTAGGTTCATGGTGGGTGCTCAACAAATATTGCAGCTTTTCTTTTTCCTAGAATGTCATAAATGTGAATAATATTATCTTCACTAGGGCTAGTACTCATCCAATTTTATATTAAAAATTAATAGGCAGTATACCTACTTTCTAGCAACAATGTAGGAATTTACTTTTGCTGATGACAAGGGATAGCTGTTAAAAACCGCTCCAAGTAGTGAGAAGCAAAATTTTTACCAAATGTTTTTCGATTCTAAAAGGGAGAGCACCATGAAATTCAACTTTCAAAGTAAAATATGTCACTTTTTGAGAGTGGGGGCACAGTGGTAACTAAACATTATTTTTACAGTTGGCATCAATAATGGTCTTCTAGAAAAGAAAAACAAGATTACTGTTCAGACTAAAAGGAGCTAACTTCATTATAGGCAGAACCTTTTGGTTTTAATTTTTTTCTTAATAGCAAAATACATTTTAAAATATTCCATCTGTACTTAATAGTTCAAGTTTTCTTCCTGAACAAGAAATCTTTGATTTTGTTTTTACTATATAAGCAATTGACTGTCTTATACTAGTACACTTAGGATATTTTTTAAATGAAATTGATAAAGCCTGAACAATTTTAGAGTCCTCTTCATTTAAGCTCCAATACTTACTGAATGGCAAACTGAGGGTTTCCTATCTTTTATTTTGTTGTTGGTAGCTTTTTATTTTAAGTAAGACTGAATTTCATACCTGTCTAAGTGAATTCTTCTCTGGTATTATCTTCCTAGGGGGTTCGCCATTATTACAGTCTTCTCTCTCTGAGGAATTCTGTGAAAGAAAGTAAGCTTTAATTCAGTTCTCATTATCTTCAATCTTATTTTGAGGGAGTAAACTGAATTACAGTTCTAATTCTGTAAGCTAGAATATTATGTATATTTTTGCATTTATTCATTTGAAAATTTATATACATACAGACATACACTTATGTAAAGGGAAACATATGCCCATGTATATAAATAAATGTATGTAGGGATTTAGGTGGAAAGCATTGTATCTATATTTAAGTACTACCCAACAGGTAATATTCATTAGAAATATATTTTATTGCTTTTTGAAAATGCAAGTTGACAATGGACATAAGAAAGCTCTAATCTGGTTGGAATAAACCACGATAATCATAATCATTTTTAAATAATCAGTTTTAAACTACAGTGTATGTATGATTGATAGAAATTCTCAAAATCTGAATCCTGGCCATCCCTGGTGGCACAATGGGTTAAAGCACAGCACTATGAAGCTATCTGCAGTCACTACAGCAGGAGTTTGAGCCCTAGCCAGGAAGGTGACCCACATGGCGTGGCAGACCTCCCCTCTCTCACCCACTGTTCCCCTCAGCAGATTATTTCAGTCAATCTGCTTGTTCTGCTCTCTGCTCTGTCTCTGGTGAATCCCCTCACCTCCTGCACCTCTGGCCTATAACCCAGTTCTTGTATGCATAAATAAATAAATCTTTTTTAAAAAATCTGAAGCCTGAAAAATAGTTCTTTCTCTTCCTCCTCCTTTCAGATTTGATTTTCTTTCCCTTATTAAAAATAGTGTAAAACTGGGCCCTCCCTACTTCCCTCCCTGGTGGCGCAGCAGGTTAAAGCACAGCACTAAGAAGCTAAAGCCACTTCAGCATGAGTTTGATCCCCACTCGGAGGTGACCCTGGAGGTGTGGCAGACTCTCCTGACGGCCTGCTGCTCCCCTCAGCAGTGTACTTCGGCAGTTGGCCTGTTCTGCTCCCCACTCTGTCTCTGGTGAATCCTCTCACTGCCCCTGCACCTCTGGCCTGTACCCCAGTTCTGTATGCATAAATAAATAAATCTTAATCAAATAGTGTAAAACTTAAACCCAAACAGCAGTTAAGCAGTTGCTTAGAAAGAGAAAAGTCCATTCTTGTCACTCTCCCAACAAAAAGCAGCTGGGAAACCCTACTGTACCAATGGGATTTTAAAATACTTAAGAAGATGACAGCATGTGTACATGTTGAGATGTGAAGTTGTACTTCCCAAATTATAGTTATGGCAATGGATAACATATCTATTGAAATTTGTTTTTAAAAAAGATGAAAAGAACAAGACAACAAGCAAATCTATTGAAATTTGTTTTTAAAAAAGATGAAAAGAACAAGCCAACTGAAACCAAGTTCAGAATTTTAGTATCAGCAGAGTAAAAAGGTAGCCCACAGAAATGAGAAAATATATGCAAATCACATATTTGTTAAATTATTACTATCCAGAATATACAGAAAAGTTATAAAACTGAACAAAATTCCAATTCAAAAATGGACAAAGGACCTAAATATATAAATAAACAACAAGCAACTATAAAGATGTTTACCTTCATTATTTCTGAAATGCAAGTCAAAAGTACAAGGAAGGCTACTACTATTAGAAAGGCTACTATCAAAAAAAAAAAAAAGCAGAATGTGACTATCAGTGTGTTACTGGAGTTCCATGTCAGCAAAGCTGGTAAGATGTTCTAGCTACCTTGTATCTCTCTCTCTTTTCCCTGGGTTGTTCCTTTTCCTTTCCCCTTTTGTAAATAAACCCATTATTGACCCTCTCTGTGTGTGCCTACAGTACAATTAAATTTTAAGCGTGGGTTACCCTGGAACAAAACATGGCTATGCATTTATGGTCATAGCAGCATTATTAGATGACAGATCGCTAAACCATGGAAGCAACTCAAATGTCCACTGGAAAATGAGTGAATAAGCAAATGGTAGTATAAACAATGGAATCACATTCACTTTTAAAAAGGACATTCTAACCTACACAACATGGATGAACTTTGAGAATACCGTGCTAAATGAAATAAGCCAGTTAAAAATAAAATCGTGTATGATTATACTTTTATGAGATATTTAGAGTGGTCAAAATCATAAGGCTAGATAGTAGAACGGTGATTGCCAGGGGCTGGAGAGACATGTGAATGGGAAGTTATTTAATTTTTAAGAGTTTTGGTTTTATAAAAAAACAAGTTTGGGATGGATGGGATAATGGTTCACATATATCTGATATCACTGAGTTATACACTTGAAAATGATTAAAATGATAACTGTGATGTAATATAAATTTAAAAAAAAAGTGCCTGGCAGTCAACAAAGATAATCCAAATTATACATTTGGGTTCTATATTCCACAGCTATATTTCTAACATTGGTATTTTAAAATTTGCAGCCAATACATTCATTACATTACATATATCTGCACATCTAAATGAGGGGTTACTTTATTTTTAAATAAAGACATTTTATCTGAAAATATTTCATATAAATGTGAAATTGGTATATAGGATCATAATTGTTTTAAACCTAGATTTGTTGTCACTGTTTTGGTTTGTATTAAATATGACATTTTAAAAGTTACTAAAGGGTAAAAGGCACATTTTTAAGGCTTTTGGACTTCTGTGGCTAACATCTGTGTGCCTTGTGGGGTCACTTGTAGTTGACTTGGCAGGCCAACATATATTACTTTGGGGTAGAAATTACTTATGAGGGCTCTCCCTGGTGGTACAACAGGTCAAAGCACAGCACTGTAAAGCTGTCCATAGCCACTGTAGCACGAGTTTGATTCCCAGCCATGGAGTGACTCACATGGCACAAAGACCTCTCCTGTCCCACCTATTGCTTCCCTCTGCAGTGTATTTCAATCAGTCTGTCTGTTCTGCTCCCCACTCTGTCTCTGGTGAATCCTCTCACCCGCCACCCCACACCACTGGCTTGTACCCAAGTCCTTATATGCATAAATAAAAATCTTAGAAAAAAATTACTTACAATATTTAATTTGGTATTTTGCATGTGTGCTGATCACTTTCAGATAAAAGCCCCTAAAGAAACAAGCTTTGCTCTAAGGACAGAGAAACAATCACTTCAGTCTTTCTCCCCATTTTGAAAAAAAAAAAAAGGAATGGGTTATCAACAAAAATTGAGCAGAAATAGAGTTGAATTCATGGCTATAAATTCAACTGTGTGGCATTCCAAATAAGGAAACTGGCAATACACACTAGAATAAGAGAATTAAACAAAAGAGGGAAAAAGTCAATATTAAATCCATAAAATAAATTTGTATGTTTGACTTAGTAAGTATAGAATCAATATTTTAAATACCAAAGTAAAATCTTATATAATAAAAATATATGTTAGCATACACAGTATTTCACAATTGATTATATTTTGTTAAAGTATCACAATAATAAACTTGGAAGCCTGATTATTTTTTGGTGAAGTTTGTTATACTTTTTTTAAAAGTCATACTTTTATTCTACAGGTGCTTGGGATGAAGCAAAATTGGTAAGTTCTCGATACTAAATTCCACAGTGAATAGTAGAGTTCTGAACCTAGCAGGGTGACTGGTAACTTTCTGTCTCATACCAACAATTTTCTTCCTCCCTACTCTATTTTATCTAGTTTATATGGTGGACTACTGAGTGGATATTAAGAGATGTGTAGATTTGAAATGGTGAAAGGGGCTATAGAATAATAAATACCTGAGGTCAGAGCATAGAGCTGTAAAGGAGTTCCTTTCCTTCTCTACCCATTAAAACAGAGACAATCTAGAAACCATGTTGTTAAAAAAGAGTAATTCTTAACATATAAGTAAAGGAAAAAATTAGTTTTAATGACATACTTTTTAGCTAGATCTTTTTAGAAAGAATGATCCAACATATTTTACTCTGGACTACTCACAATGAGAAATCAAACCAGTATTAAAAAATTCAACTCTGGGCCCTCCCTAGTGGGTTAAAGCACAGCATTGCAGCTGGCCACAGCCAACTCAGTGCAAGTTCAGTCCCTGGCCCCAGAGGTAACCCACTTGGCATGGCACCTCTCCTGTCTCACCTGCTGCTCCCCTGAGCAGTGTACTTCGATCTGCCTGTTCTGCTCCTCATTCTGTCTCTGGTGAATCCTCTGACCTCCCCTGTACTTCTGGCCTGTACCCCAGTTCTGTATGCATAAACAAATCTTTTTAAAAACTCAGCTCTGCTGTTATATAAAACAGAGGTATTGACATTAAACAGTCATGATATCAGCAGCAAGCATAAGAATCCTACTACCAGTCCTACTGGTGAAGAGAACCAGAATACCGGTAAATAAAAGATGATGAGCTCTACATCTTGAGAGCAAAGGGGAATAATGGAATAGCCATATGTACCTGAGTGGCCACTTCTGATTCTCAAGTTGTCTCCAACATTACCCAAGAGAGCTCAAAGCACAGGCATCCCTTGTATATTTAGCTAGAACACATCCCAATAAGCAATAGCCCTGGTTCATCAAGTTAAATTATGTCCAGTAAGTTACATTTAAGGGTATCAAACTGAGGCAAGACTCATCACACAAAGCAGAAGTCAAAGTTAGACAAATAATAGGATAGTTATAGACAAGTAATGAACATACTTTCAGAATATTTCTCTGTAGGATAATTACTAAAGAAAAACAGTAACCTTCTGTTAGAGAAATTAGCATATACCATCTTACTTAACATGATATTCCTACTGATGTGATGCCTTAAAGCGCATTATTACTTATGGGGTTAGTTTAGCCAAAACTCAATTTCAGTCTCATCATGAGAAAATACCAGAATTGGTCCAAATTGAGGGTCAAGCTTATGAACTACAATAAGTAATAAAATATTAAGAACATAAAATACAAAGGTTAAGGAATGTTTTTAAAAAGATTTATTTATTTATGCATACAAGAACTAAGGTACAGGCCAGATGTGTGGAGTGGGGGAGGGTGAAGGGTGAGAGGATTCATTAGAGACTGAGGGAGGAACAGACCAGA